TAAAATAAAATAAAATAAAATAAAATAAAATAAAATACAGGAAAGACAGTAAGAGTTTCTGAAGATTTCAGTGGAGGGATTGTCAAATTTCCTAAATCAACAAAATTTCATCATCAAGAGTTCTGGTGAGTTATTTACAATTAAGAGTGCATATTTTAAGGGATAGGGAATTACATGAGAACAATCAAGTCTGGATTCCAAATGAGAGAGTGAATGACAAGTCATTGACAGTCTGTTGTATGAATAAGGCAGAAGATCACTTTTATTCTGGAAAAGAAATTTTTCAGTTGTGAGTTCTTATCTGACAAGGGTAGGGGGAGAGTAGAATGGTCAAAGAAAAAGATATGTGCAAAAAGGTGTAACTGCTACATAACTTGCATTCACATCTCAAGCAGAGATCAACATTGCCCAGGAAATTGTCAAAAAGCACCAATGGTCACCTTAAAGCAAGTTTACAGCAGGTTCAACCTTGGAAAATGTCAACAGAAATCAAGTATTCCTGGGAAGGCACAGTTGATGGCTTGCATCAGATTCCACTGCCCATCGCTTCGCTTCTAAACTACGTCTCCACCACCTGCTAGGGAGGCTGACTTAAAATCCTTGCTGCTTTTGTGGGTTCCCAAGGTTCATGTTTCTCAGCAATATACTTTAAGCAGGGGGGCTCCAGAGGAGTCTGTCTCTGTATCTTGGAAAGAAGAACCTCTACTCAATGGGGATCCTGCAGGGGAATGGGAGGAAAAAGGGGGAGGTAAGGGTTTTACATATAAGAAACAAAAGCTAAGATAAAGCATACTGAAAGGATAAGATGGAACAATATATTGTAACCAGAGCTGCATACAACCTCCCCCCAACAAAAAAAGTTCCAATTTTGTGAATAATAATTTGAAAACTGCACTGATTTGCATAAAACTCTTTCAAAATCTAGACCAGTGTTTCTTAACCTTGGTGACTTTAAGACGTGTGGACTTCAATTCCCAGAATTCCCCAGCCAAGCTGGCTGGGGAATTCTGGGAATTGAAGTCCAAGACCTCTTAAAGTCACCAAGGTTGAGAAACACTGATCTAGAATGTGAAGACTACTGTTATAGAATGGACATGTGACATTGCTACAACTTTTAGCTGCCTGCTTCCAAAATAGGACAGGAAGCAATGAAAATGGATAAAAACGAATGGGTGATTTTGGGATTCACTGATTAAAATGGGTTGCTTATAGGAAGAGGGGAACCAAGATATGTAATTTGGGAGGGTGGAGATGGTAACTATCAGGTCTATAACTGCTGCAAAGAAGATCAGAAGTTGCCTCTTTAGATGTCTTTTCTTTCTTTTTTCTTTGCCTTTTGCTATCCTTTACTTTTTCTTTTTTTATTTTTTCTATTTTTCTGTTAAAGTTTCTGTCATTTTTTAATTTTGTATAATTTTTTTCAAATATATATATTTATATATATGAATTTTTTTATTTATGAATGACAGTAAGCCACTCATGCAAGTGAAAAGAATTCAAATGGCGCAAATTCCAACAAATGAGAACTGTTGAAATAATGGACAAGGAAAATACATAGTACTTTGTTCTTCCAGCAATGTTATCCGTACACTACATTCAAGAACTGTGATGTTGAGAAACTGGCTCTGTTTGTATTTATCTAAAAAATCTCTTCTTAGCATTTTTAAAATCCCATTTCTGCTTGTCAAGAGAAGAAACACTAAATCCTTAGAAACTACAAAACCTTGAACAATATTCCACCAAACTTCCACTGCATGTTTCTAAGAGGCTCTCTGTAGCCATGAGAACGGGATGCATGCTTTTAAACTGGATGGATGAAAGCTCACATTCTCAGCCAAATCTCACAACACTGCAGTTATGGATACCCAGCCCTGTTTATACTTGACCCAAGAACCCACATTAAACCAAAGAAATTCACCCAGCCATTCCCGTGTCCAGCTGAGAGGACATAGCTCAACCAAGCTATTATAGAAATAGTAAAGAGTCTTTGAATTGATCTCAACTCCTGGGAAGTGCATAGAGACATCCCTGTGGTTCTCTTGGGAACGGTATGGAAATGGTTTGTCCCCTTTCTCATGCTTAAGTGTCCTTAAAATCTAGCTAAGGGGCACTGTTAAGATAGCACAAGGTACTTCAACCCTTGTTGAAGCAGGGGCAGGCAGAAGATTTACTGCTAGATAAAACAGCGTTAAAATTACTGCTTCAGAAATAACTGGATTGTTTTCCTCTTGATATATTTTGCCCTTTATCGCGGGAAACTCTAAACAGTCAAAAACAAGATTCAATTGAGTTAATTTTTAATCTTTTTTTTTTTTAATCCACTGCTTATTTTCTATCCGACTGCACTAGACTGCAGTTGTGGAATGTGAAGAACAAGATCATTTTTCCATTTACTGGAATGAAGAAACTTGGGGTGTACTCTAAGTAGGCTTTTGATGAGGACTGTGAGCTCACTTCAATTTGAGTGCCCAAAGTGAATTTTCTGAAGCTTAGAATTAGCTAAGCTGTTGATTGTACACGTATGTCTTTTACACGTGTTGCTTCTTTAGTTGTAATAAAAGAAAATGGTCCCCACATAGCTGCTGTCACCCCGTCCCCTGGTTTTGAAGCCCCCTGTTCTTTAGGGTCATCCCCCCTATTTCTCATCTAACCTCATTGGGTTGGCTTCAGGACTGTAAAAGCTAGTAAAAGCTAAAGATGACCCCACACTGCTGAGGCATCCTCTCCCTTATTTTAAAGGGGGAAAATATATTTGTGAAAAGGGATACAGAAACATGGAAACCCTTTAGAGTCCCAGGCAAGCAATGGAGCCCTCTTAGAAGTATGCAGCCATAAGGGCTAGATTCTGCCTTTTAGTAAAATCTGAAGGATTATTTGCTCCCCACGTGACCTGATAGATTCTCCATTAAAGGCCAGAACTTACATTCCATAATTAAAATAATAGCCATTTATTCTAACCACCTCCCTCCCCCTTCCCTTGAGTTTTCTGGTTTTCTGGTACTGGAGAACAGAATTCAGAAACTGGAGAATTTCAGATGGCATTAAAAAGCCAAGAGCAAGTTCCTAGCCCTTAAGGCTCTGTGATGTCTTAAGAAACCTCAGAAGCCAGCAGAACCTGAAGCCCCTCATTGCAGCAATCCAAGGACAAAATGCTCATACCTTGAATAGCATTTGCCTCTCTCCGTGGCTAGCAGGAAAAGAATAACATGACATTTTATGTATTACAAACTATACTACGTTTATGTATATGGGCACTTGGTCACAGTTAAGTCTCAGTATGAGAATAGTTCAAATGGGTTTAATTCATTCTTGAGTGGTTTATTTTGCTTTAAGTGAACAGGCAAATCCCAGTCAACCCAGATTTCAAAATGAATGCTTTTGCATGTCATGAAAGCTATTGGCTGCCATTTCTTTCCTGTTCATGCACCCTCTTTTCTTTCATCATAAACACGACCAACAGCACACCCGTCGGTAAATAAAACCAGACCTGAAGTGCCCTGCCCTATCTCAGGAATTTAACTTTAGAGCCATAAATGGTTTGGGATCAGCTTATCTAAAGAAACATTATCAGCCTGTATGATTCCTCTGATCTGTTTTGGAAGTCTGCCCTCTGGTAAGGTCTGGTGACACTGATGAGGACAAAGAAATGCTCCTTTCTCAGCAACGCGTCACTTCTATGGGACTCCCTTATAGATGCTTCAGTGAGCCTTGAAAACTGTGCTCTTCCCAACTATAAGCTAGTGAATAACTAACCCGGTGTTTCTCACCCTTGGCAACTTGAAGATGCGTGGACTTCAACTCCCAGAATGCCCCAGCTGGCTGGCTGGGGCATTCT